GGGGGTGGAGGGGTGGGGGAGGGGTGTGTGTGGGGGGGGGGTGGGGGTGGGTGTGGGGGGGGGGGGTGGGTTGGTTTCAGTGTTTCTTTCAGACTTTTTCCTCCCCGGAGAGGGGTGGGGGGTACTTGAAATTTTCGGGGGCGGGGGTAGAATTTTCTGGGAGGGGGCGGACACTGGAAAAAGTATATAATTATATTTCGTTGAATGGGACGGTAGACATGTTTTTTTTGGGGGGGTGGGGGGTGGTGGAGGGGTGGGGGGGTGGTGTGTGTGGGGGGGTGGTGTGTGTGTGGGGGGGGGGGGTGTGTGGGGGGTGGGGGTGGTGTGTGGGGGTGGGGGGTGGTGTGTGGGGGGGGGTGGGTTGGTTTCAGTGTTTCTTTCAGACTTTTTCCTCCCCGGAGAGGGGTGGGGGTACTTAAAATTTTCGGGGGCGGGGGTAGAATTTTCTGGGAGGGGGCGGACACTGGAAAAAGTATATAATTATATTTCGTTGAATGGGACGGTAGACATGTTTTTTGGGGGGGGGGGGGGGTGGGGGGCGGTGTGTGGAGGGGGTGGTGTGTGGGGGTGAGGGGTGGGGGTGGGGGTGGTGTGTGGTGGGGGGTGAGGGTGGGGGTGGTGTGTGGGGGTGGTGTGTGGTGGGGGGTGAGGGTGGGGGTGGTGTGTGGGGGTGGGGGGTGGGGTGAGGGTGGTGTGTGGGGGGTGGGTTGGTTTTAGTTTAGAGATAAGAGACAGCACTATCAGCCTAGCGCCCGTTCGGGTAGTGGCTAAGCGCGACACCAGTGTTTCTTTTAGACTTTTTCCTCCCCGGAGAGGGGTGGGGGTAATTGAAATTTTCGGGGACGGGGGTAGAATTTTCGGGAAGGGGGGGCGGACACTGGAAAAAGTATATAATTATATTTCGTTGAATGGGACGGTAGACATGATTTTTTTGAGAGTGGGGTGTGGGGTGTGGGAGGTGGGGGGTGGCGGGGGGGGGGTGTGTGGGGGGGGGGGTGGGGGGGGTGTGTGTGGGGGTGGGGGTGGGTGGTGTGTGGAGGTGTGTGTGTGGGGGGGGGGGTGGGGTGGGGTGGTTTCCTCATCGATACTCTATAATAAAATTACCACCTAATTAATGTGTCTAATCTAAAAAGTGGTTTTCTCGCAATTTCTTTAATGCAATTCTTCGCGTAGTGGCTAAGCGCGACACCAGTGTTTCTTTCAGACTTTTTCCTCCCCGGAGAGGGGTGGGGGGTACTTGAGGTTTTCGGGGGCGGGGGTAGAATTTTCGGGAAGGGGGCGGACACTGGAAAAAGTATATAATTATATTTCGTTGAATGGGACGGTAGACATGTTTTTTTGGGGGGTGGGGGTGGGTGGGTGGGGGTGGGTGGGGGGTGGTGTGTGGGGGGTGGGGGTGGTGTGTGTGGGGGTGGGGGTGGGTGGTGTGTGGGGGGTGGAGGTGTGTGGGGGTGGGGGGGGGTGGTGTGTGGGGGGGTGGGGGTGTGTGTGTGGGGGGGGGTGGGATGGTTTTAGTTTAGAGAAAAGAGACAGCACTATCAGCCTAGCGCCCGTTGTACCCTTCCTCAACGGGCCATTTATCTAGTTAAAGTATGATTTATGATTGCAGTTTAAAGTTTTATGTATATTTAGAACGCCAAATACGCACTCTCACAGTCAAAAGACCACTTGCAGAGTGCAATAGCTATTTATATAAGGTAATTATTCTTCTTTTTTATCGTCGTTCTAAAAAAATATTATAGTCTTTTGGGAACCATTGATTACACTTATTTTAGTATTGAAGATACGCAGTTAAAAATAATTTTAGAATTATTATATGAATTCAAATATTTTAAAAAAAAACGCCCTTAACCCCTCTTTCAAGTCAACCGTAGTGACCAGGTGAAGTAAAACAATGTTCCTGGCTTGTTAGTTTGTAATAGTGCAATGACCAATCATAGAGTGCAGTGGCCGCACACATACTAGAATGACCACTGGCATAATTAAGTGACCGCTGGCATAGTGCGGTGACCACTTGCATAGTGCAACTGTCACGCAGAGTAAAATGCCTTTTAAAATTTAGCACATCATTCATGTACTTTCATGTTGATTTCGGGATTTTTTTTTTTTAGGTTAAAGTCAGGTATAAATGTTTTTTTTTTCTTGCTGACTGACCCACAATAGCATTATATCCTGTTGAACTGACCCACGTTTACTATGCGCGGGTTGTCTGTTAGCAAAGTCGGATAAAATGTCTGTTATCAATTTTCATCCACAATTTGCAAGGTATTTCTGTTCAATCGAGCCAAACTATTAGTTTCCTAATTGTATTTCACCCAAATAAGTTTGTCAATTTTTACACCAAAAACTAAAAACTGGTTTTCTGTTAACTTGGTAAATTTTCTACACACTTAAACTCTGACCGAGTCTCCTACTGGTAGCCTACAGATTTGAACGTATCTCACATGTCGAGATAATCCAGACTAATCCAGACTAAGTTGTTAATCCTGACACTAGATAGCCAGGGATGTAAACGGGGTTATGATAGTTTACACAGGGATCGCCTATGGTTTTCAAAGTGATAATGCACGCCTTACATAAACTGCACACTTTAAAGATCATGTAAAGTATAGGAACCTTCACACCGTGTATGAACTATGCATTTTACAGGAATCATAGAGTACAAGAACGCATATTACAGGAATTACACAGTACAAGACAGCATATTACAGGAATTATATAATTACGCGTATTAATGGAATTACATAGTACAAGAACTGCGCATATTATACAACTGCGAACATTACAAGAACAGTGTACATTACAGGAACTGCAAACATTACAGGAACAGAGCACTTTATAGGAACTGCACTTTACAAGAACAGTGAACATTATATAAAGTACGCAATACAAATACAGTGCACGTTATAGGAACTGATCAGCACAGATTACAGCAACTCCACACAATCCAAGAACTGCGCACACAAGAACTGCGCACCTTACATAAACTGCACACATTGCCCAGCACCGCACCGACATGACACGACATTAAACAACGAAAACAAAGCAGACAAGCATTTATTCCGGCAGGTTTACCTTTAAGCACTCTATGCACCTCGGGTTTTTAAAATAAATTTTTGTTTGTTTTTAACTCCGACTGGGCAGTATCCATAACATAGGCAGTTTGCACACGGGTACTTTTAATTTTTGTTTGTATCTCCGACTGGGCAGTATCCATAACATAGGCAGTTTGCACACGGGTACTTTTAATTTTTGTTTGTATCTCCGACTGGGCAGTATCAATAACATAAGTCAGGGGTCGGCAACCTTTTGAAACGGAAGAGCCAAAAGTTACAATTTTCAAAATTTCCCTGGTTTTAAAGAGCCACTAACATTTTTTTAATTTAAAATATTTTATTTTTTATTAAGATTATTAGTATTTGTTCAAAGAGCTGGAGAGCCGCATCTTGATATCAAAAGAGCCGCATGCGGCTCGCGAGCCGCAGGTTGCCGACCCCTGACATAAGTAGTTTGCACTCGGGTTTTTTTTTTTTAATTTTTGTTTGTTTTTAACCGCGACTGGGTAGTATCGATAACATTTTCCCCTGCCGGTATCGATACTACAATGGAGTCATGAATTGGGTTTAAGATAAAGGCCAGGGCTAGAAATAATATTTAGTTTTTGAGGTACGGTTAGGGTAAATGATAGATTTAGGGTATCAACAGTCGCAGAAAAAAAATCCACTTTGATATTCATGGGCGTCACTTGTTTGCTCAGCTGTTAGGTTGTTGTCATCTAGTTTCGCTATTTTGGGGATTAGCTCATCCCGTTCATGTCGTTCCTCCCTCTGGAGACAGATTAGGTGACAAGGAGACAGAAAGTATAAGATCTCATTTCCTACAACATCGATTCGTCCTGTCCCGTCTAGCTTCGGAAGCCGGACCTCAAGACCTCATTCGATTTGACCGCGAGATTCACCCACCACTCGTGTAAGGGGTTGTCCATAAACGATTTTTATCTCCCCCTCAACATGGTCACAGAAAGTAAGACCCCCCCCCACCGCCCCCCCCCCCCCCCCCACACACACACCCTTCCCAACCCCGACTAAAATAACGTCATACCTCAGCCAAACACCCCAAAACTAAAAATAGCAATTTTTTTTAAAGCGTTGATTTCTTTCTCACATAATATTCACCGAGCTCGGTTAACATAGAGTATGTTATATGTCTAAATTTTTATTACACTTTACAAAATAAGTCTTTAAATAAAAATTCAGTTTCAAACTGCTTTTACAATGCGTATGCTAGCAGTAAAAGGGAGACAACTTTATAGTCTCAATGGTATCAAACCAATTAAACGGAGGCTACTATTTAAAGTTACAAGAGTATCTTAGTAGTTAAATGCACACAACTGTAGCCGAATACCCCTACACAACAACACCACTTGTAACTAATATATATTATATTGCGGTGCTCAAGAGAGTGATCGACATTTTCTGATCTATTTATCATATTTCCACAACCATATGTATGCACTTTCACTTCATCTGATCAACGTTTGATGTTTAACTACAATTTGTTTAACGTTCAAGATGAGAATTATTATTCTTTGCAACATCAATAATCGATTAAAGTTATCATTTTCGAAATCAAAAGCCAGTAACAATGTTTAAAAATAGTGTAAAAAAATAAGTTTAGGGTCATAATAATCTAACGGGAATAATACATATATAAATACATTTTTTGTAAGTGCGTTTACAGAAAATAGAAAAAAAAAACATAAATGAGCTTCTAATAAATACAGTTAATAAAAAATATGGAGCGTTCTAAAAACGACAGCTGAAAAAAAAGATGACATTAAGCTGAACAAAATACAGCGCAAACAAACACATAAACATAAACATACACACAAACATAAGAATACACACATAAACACAAACACACATAGGAACACACACAGGCACTCACTCACTCACACACACACACACACACACACATACGAACGATAAATACAGTTTTACCTGTCGTTGCCACCTCGTTCTGCTTTGAAACCGCTTTAGAAAATTTGTGTTTGTTCTGGAGATCATTGAGGAATCCCAGGCTATAGCGCGGACAAGGGGGGACAACCATTGTGGTTTTTTCCGTCGTTTTTTCCTGAATTACTGGTAACATTTCAGGTAACTTTGGGCTTTCTTTAGAAGGTGTGGGCGTTTCCGTTTTCTCGTTTGACGTCTGCGAGACGAATGTGAACGTCTGAGGTGACGTCGGTGCACTTTTTATATCGTCGTCTTTGCGCGGAGTTAAAAGTACAAATTTTTCGGCTTTTTTCGGAGTTTGGAGCGAAACGTTCTCGGCTTTTTTCGGAGTTCGCAGCACAAATTTTTCAGCTTTCCTCGGAGTTAAGATCACAATTTTTTCCGCTTTTTTCTCCGTGATCGTGCTGCTAACTTTTTCCACAATGTGGATTTGTGTTTTGGTTTCTATCATCCCGTTGACCGGGGACTCGGTTGGAATTTTCTCAGAATTGTCTCCGACGTTTGAAATCTCCTGTCCGTCCGACGGGGAGTCAATGACCTTACCATCTTCAACAGATAAACTCTGCTTCACCTCCATAGACACTGACCGCTGGTGTTTATGATGACGTTGGCTTTTCTTCTTCTCGTTGTTATCCACATTATCCCTCTGGTACGGATCCGACTCCAGTTTAAAATCGCTCTCCGGCGTTCCGCAGGAGTCGATCGGGCTGATGTTTCCGGGGATCGGATGTCGGCGGTTGTAGTCCAGAATCTGGTCGATTTCCGGGTGGTTTTCTTCCGCGTTCGATTTTTTAAATGAAAATTTGAATCGTTTCGTTTTAGACTTCGAATCCATTTTAAATTAACTTAATTAATCATCACAAAAAGAAGCACACATTCTCCTTTGAAAATAAAATCGATTTTTCAATGTTTCATAAATTTGTGTATAATTATCCATCCATTGCATAACCTGTTCATTCTAAAAATTTTGAACAAAGTTCTCCGTCTTATCCTTTCAAGTTTCTATTATTTCGAAACAAAGGATTATTATTTATTGTCGCATTAAGTGCCAAAAAAATAATCTATATTGGCTTAATACAAAATGAAAACATTTGGCTACTCCCCTTTAAAGTAATAAAACAACTCCTAGAATTGAACTTCTAAACAAGTTCACTTAGGCTATATTCTGACGAAGACCATCAGTCGAATCTTCAATTAACGCGAAATAAATTATCATTTAACACTAACAGTGACGGTCAAAACGAAACCAGAAGTCTATTACCAACCATAATACAGTGCTGGGGAACCATAGAAATAAGGCTACGGAAATTTTTTTTAAAATTATTAGCTACACAATCGCAGAGAAAATAACGGCTTGGATTCGATTACTCAAGCATGTGTCTGTGAACCTTATTGATAAATCGTACCCACACGTAAGTGTTGGGCATCGATACCGATATATCCATGCATCAGTTAAACTTTAGCGCTCTAAAATAGCACTAGAACCTACGGATAAAGCAGTTTTATCGGCGATACCTAAAGACAAATGTATGGGTATGATGGCTAATCGACCTCTAGATATATGAGTGTGGTTAGTCAATCTCTAGGCAAATATCTGAGTATGGCTAATCGACCGCTACACAAAAATATGGGTATAGGTAATTGACCTCTAGACAAATATACGGGTATGAATAATCAATAATAACCCTCGGAAGCTCCTGTGCTAATATAATAAAAACACGGATTTTAAAAAATCAAGGCATGAAATCAAATCTAAATTAATCGTTTACACATTTGAATGCCGAAGACTATCGATAACATCATACGGTCATTAGCGGTGCGAAACGGTGCAGCGTTGTGTGATATGGTGCGACCGATCTTTGGCATTTTATCGCACCAGATTAACAAGTGTTACAAGCAGACCACACGCGGGGCTAGAGTGTACGTGAAGGTTTAACCAGGGGCAATTAGTCAAAGATATCGTCGCCATATTTGCTGTTGGCGCAAAGTCAATGATAAGGAAAGGCATTCTTTTTTTTTCTATCGGTGTGTGTGTGTATGTATGTGTGTGAGGTCAATGCAGTTTTTTTTTTATAATCCTGCTAGTATCGCCGTCACGGCAAGGGTTAAGATTAAGAATAGACGAGAGAGGGTTAATGCTAGGGTAACGGCCAAGGTTAAAGTGACGATAGATACAAAAATAGTATTCAATACCCCGATCACGCCTTTATATAACTACCGTCTCAATTCATGATCAGATTTTTTAAAAATATAGCATACATATTGGTGTTTCTGTATAGCGCTAGTCACCAAAAACGATACTTTAACCATGGGAGTAAAGATTAGGTTTTGGCCAGTGTAGAATGATGACCTTAGTCGGGTCAGGTTTAAGATTAGGAGTAATGGGAGGGATGAGTAGGAATTTTAATTGAAGCATCGTTACCTGTGATACAAATTCCACCAACACGGAGTCACTAAGTGTGCCCGTATAACAATTGGTTCATTCTTTGTAACACAAACATTTGAGATATTGTGTGTTTTGGGACATACGCTTTGGTCAGAGTTTCTCTGAGGCATCTCTCTGTGAGTGCCTTCCCCACCTACCCCGGGATGAAACACAAAAGATAAAATTTATGTAGAAAATACAACATACTCAAACCATGGGGTGAAGTTGTCGAATGGTAGAGCATACGACTGCTAACACGAAAGTCGCGAGTTTAAATCTTAATTCAAGTCCGTAGACAGTCTGTGAGTCCACCTAACTCTAATGAGGATCTGACTCACAGTAAGAAAAACTACAGGTGCAAGCCATATTATTCCTTCTCATACCGAGTTAATAGAATCATGTGAACTCTACTTCACTTGGACTGTGTGGTTCAAAGGGGCACTTTAATAACTACTATATATTTCTACCAATGTCCGTCCCTCCCCCCCCCCCCCCTCTAGAAAATATGTCTGAAAGAAACCCTAGACTTGACAACTGCAATCGAGGGATACAAAAAAAAACCATAATACTCTTCATGCTTACATATTTTTTATCCCTCTTCATATTTAATTAAATTTTACATCTTGATAAAATCCCTAACTAAACCAGTTCAGAGTTTTAAATTAAACACGCATTACAGGTATATGAATTATATTTTTTAATAATTCAAAACAAACAACAAAAAACTACTTCTTCTGGTATTTTCGTACGTTAGCTAATAATCTATGGGGGAATAATAATAAAAAAAAAAACCCTGAAGGATCTAGATAAGCTACCAGTAACGGGTAACAAATGCGACATTTTAATAAACCTAGCGACAGATGGGAGATAACAATAGTAACTGGGACTACTTTTCAGGGGCAACAACTCAACGCTTGCACGGACTAGCGAATGCCAATAAAAATGTCACCTGATCAAAATAAACCAGGGAATTGGAAATTGTAAGTTTTCTGATTTGAAATAGAATTTGTGATAATTGAAGTATGTAACAACTTTATGGTCAAGCGGTAAAGTGCACGATTACTAAACCAACACGAGTTCAGTTCACGGGATGAGTACGTAGTAATGTCACAGAGTCAACTCAGCTCTAATGAATACCTGACTCGAGTTGGGGAAAATGTGGGGAAAAGTGCTGACCACAATAACAACTCGTATATCATCTGATGCGATAAAAAGAGATAAATTCTAATTCATTTTAGACAAAGATTATATGTCATAGGGAGGTAGATAGGGGTGGGGGAGGGGGAAACTGGGGCAGGGGGTGGGAGGTGATTTTAGTGAAGTGAGGTGACAAGATAAAAGAGCATGTGGTGTGAACTCGTCTAATCATAAAAGTAAAGTTCCCTTTTCGCAACTAACGGTCCATGGGGCAAGTGAAGTAATGTTCACATGTTTCTGTGACCACGGCATATGAATTGGTGGTACCGTGTTATTATAAGGCACCAAACAAAAATACGAATATAATGAAAGAGTTACGAAGTAAAAATTAGCAGCCATGTATATATACTTTAAACGAATGAAACCGATAATTGATTTTAAATTAATTTTATAATTGTGGTGTAATCAACGAGATCTGATAAGGCAAGTCTATTCAAGAGACGTTAAATTTGATCAGTCCCACAATTTCTTTCGTCAAATAGAACCGTAAATAGACCATGCATAAGTAAACAGGGCCCATAACCCAGGAACAAGTTGGGTAATGACGGCACGACTCCTAGCCGCAGTGATCCTTCAGATGTCAATATAAGCCCCGTAATGACATGTGACTTGTCAATACTGGTTTATTGAGCCTGGCGTGACATGGATATGCATGAGGGAGGGGCGAACAGTTTGATTACACAACATTAAAAAAATACTTGTGTAAAGGGGTGTGTGTCTGCAGGTGTATTTGTCTGTGTGTGTGTGTCGATGAGTGTATGTGTGTACTTCGGTGAGTGTCTATACGCTATGTGTGTTGATACGGGTGTGTCTATGTTGAAGCGTGGTCTAGGGGGAGGGGGTAGGTCTAACTACATGAATACATACTTAAAAGAGTTGGTGCGTTTGAACAGTAACCCTGCTTCACCGGGGCATTACGACCTAAGTGGGACCTGGTATATGGGAAACTGATCGTGGGATTTTAAAATAGATTGAGTATGAGGCTACGGATCTGAGGTTAGATTAAGTATGACTGATTGATTTTGGTAAAAAGTAAAGTCTATTTCCTGGGTAAAAATACTTAGGATAAGTGTATGACAGCAGGTAATAATGAAGAGCAGAGATTCGGGTTCAAGTCTAAAAATGTAGCTATCATCATTTCCCCCCGTTCGTGTCCAAGACACATTGGGCAGATGAACTAAATTCTTACTCTTTCAGGTGACCTCGGCATATGAAGGGATAGTGGGGTTAGTTTTATGCTCAGCTGCCTTTGCTTTCCGTAACGCGAGTTAAGTATCCATCCGTGTTAGGTGGACTTAGCGACGCTCTACATAGTCGACACTGGGATCTGAAGACTTTCGGGTCAGCAGTCTAGCGCTCCACCGTTCGACCACGCCGCCCCATAAAACAAGTGGTTACAGTTTAGTAAAAAAATGCCATATACTTATAGTGAAATTCTACATTTAGTTTATTATAAACATCTCTATTAATTTTTGCAGTTTCCAATCAATGTCCTCATTAATTAGAACTAAATTTTAAAAATTAAGATGCAAGTTGCATATATTTTATAATTAGAAGTTCAACTGATATAACAGTGTAGATTATATTTAAACATGTATATTATATATTATTTTAAATACATAGTGTTTTATAATAACCACTCGACTGATATAAAACAGTATGGAATATACACCGAAAATAAATTCTTCTTGAAAGGGCAATGAAGATGCTGTACTGGATACTAACACTGAAATTCTCGAGGCTGGTAGACCACTTTTTCAAGTCTTATACGGAAATTCCCGAACATCTTTGCGCAGCGATAGTTCAGTTCAAGTATATTGGGCCGACAAGGAATAAATCGGGGCATGAGTCAGCGTTACCGTCACATTCGCAATGACCTAACGGCTTTTTTACGAGAGCGTTTAAAGCTTTCTTGTGTTTGCCCAAGAAGGACTTCACCCCCCCCCCCCCCCGCCCTCCTCCCCCTGCTTAAAAATTGTAAGCCCTTGACAGTGTGTGAAGATTCTAGCGCCTTTTTTCACACACCTGCCATCGGCCCAGTCGCCTGTAAGAAAACGTGAATGGTGTGGTTTCTGTCAATGGTGTTATATAATATGTGTTTGATGGTGTCAGCGGCGTTGCTACAATTTTTTTATCGCACCGAGTCCTGAGTTTATTTTGCATACTATTTATTTTATATACTAATTTATAAAATATAAATTAAACAATAACAGAAGGCATAACTATTATTGTTTAGTAACTTGTTTAAGAAAAAGTGTAGGCCTACCAGGGGCGGATGGCCCCCGGCACCCATCCTAACGACGCCAGACACATTTTATAGCAACTAATCAACGGCAGTTTATGACTAGAAACTATTTTTGTTTAATCGTCACGAATTGTC